GCTAAACGGCTAGAGACTCAGACACGAGGCGTGAGAGGGGGGTGTACGGGCCAATAGCGCGCCAGTTACACCGCGGGGAAAGCCATGCTAGATCGTCAGGCTATCCTTCGATGCGAATTGCATGTACCCTCAGAAGTTCCACCTCTCTCCACTAGATAACTTTCACCTTCTTCGACATCGGGATAACGAAAGCGACCTGGCAAACAAAATTCTATCAGGAAACCAAGTGTTAGGATCATAACGTCGAAGGAACTCATGACCGAAATGTTGAAATAGCTGTTTCACGTGCAAATAGAAGGATTCAAAGGTAAGGAAAATGGCTGTCACACGACGAATTGTCGACTCCGTGAGGCGCTTGTCCACTTTCTGCAAGAACACTCAAGGAAACACTCGGACACAGATGAAAAATTCTTAGACCCTAACGTGGCCACTGAACAATGCGCTTTTCGCTTGAAATTCTTCCTCAGATAGTTTTTACGATGGCTGGGAGGCCAAATCAATCTGAAACGATTTCGGTGGAAAAACATCGTTAGCTCTGCGCAGTCGCTGTCTTTATCAGTCGCCAGTTCGCTCTGTCTAGTACATCTTCTGCTGTGGCGTGACTTCACTTGGATCCTTCTTGATTACGAACTTCACACAAAATTTGCTGAACAAGTGTCGTGACAAGGTGGCGCCAACTGGCGCCAGATGGCGCCACCGCTAAAAATGAATGTCATTTTCGTAATCAGGGCATCGAATTACCTCTATAGGCAAATTTACGGTAGTTTCTAAGGTGTACAAAATTACACTGCACGAGCGGAGGTGTTTTTACGTGATCGGCGCGGGCTTATCTACCGGAAATTAGGGTAACTATTTTTGTGTTACAGCAGAGCCGCTTACGAGATGCGTAGCAGCATTGGAATAGCACATATTCAGAAGAGCACCTCATCGCTCACAGTACCGTTAGCTGTGAGGGAGCGGTAATCTTTCAAGGCACATTTTCCTTGAAAGATATTTGTCCGAAATATCGAGTTTTGACAACAGTTGTTTCTCAAACCATCATAAGGCAGTGCGCGTAACCGTAGTTGAATTTCTCCATAGCTCGAATACAGGTTTTCTCAATTACATTGTGCGTCAGCTGTAAAATGGGTATCCTACTTACTATTTATAAAGCGCTTCGTCTGTCGTTCTGTCGTCTGTATGTCTGTCACGAAATTCCCTAGCTCCTCGGGATCCGCCTGGAGGACCGGGTCAAGTGTGGGATGGGTGGGCAAGGTCTCACGAAGTACAAAACACACATCAGCTAAGCGGAGCCCCGCCCACAGTGGGCGTGGCGTGCATCGAAATGAACTGTACTGACGACCAAGATTTCAATTTCAGTGACAAAACAGCCTCGAAACTGGGCCAAAAAGTGGGTAAAGGTGTGCATTGGTAAGTCACATCGAATTAGGGAGACCCACCCCGGTGGGCGGGGCGTTCTCCAAAAAAGCAGTGCTTTATGAAAAATTTCATAACTCGGTTGGGAGAAAGCCTACAGAGCAGAAAACAAATTGGTGTAGGGGAGCAATGTCTAAGGTGTTTCCCAGCATACATGACGTGGGCGGAGGCCGCCCACAATGGGCGGAGCGCGCTCTGAAGTGTACAGCGTTTTCTACAAGTCCTCATAATTCGGGCCGGAGAAGTCTTAGTGAGCCGGAAAAAGGTGGATAGAGGTGGGTGGAGGAGTGGAGGCCAACTGTCATCGGTGGGCGGGGCATGACCAAAGTGGGCGGAGTTTGCGACGAAATTCATAACTCGGCTCCAAGAAGTCCCGGAGGCCGGGAAAAAGGTGGATAGAGGTGGGTGAAGGAGTGGAGCCCAACTGCTATTGGTGGGCGGGGCATGTCCAAAGTGGGCGGAGTTTCCACGAAACTTTGTAACTCGGCTCCAAGTAGTCCTGGAGACCGGGAGAGAAGTGGGCGAAGGAAAGGTGAATTTCTAATGGTGTGCGGAGGATACACCAAAAAAGCAGGTTTCGCCGCCAAAATATAAATCGGCTCAGAGATAGTTCAGAGATCGGGTAAAAAGTGGGAAGAGGTTGGCGAGGAAGAAAAAGATAGGTGGGACATGCAAAGAAATAGGCGGAGTTTACCACGAGGTTCATAAATCGGTCCAGGGCAGTCCGAGACCGGGAAAAACGGACAATTGGTTGACGAAGGGGGACAATTGGTGGACGAAGGAGGGAAGGTCAAAAGCCATCGGTGGATGAAGCATGGGACAATCGGATAGAATTCAGCTTGAAAGTCAAATATTCGAAGTGTATTGGGCCAAATTCGAGAATTCACGCCGCACCATCCATATCGCCGCAGAACTGTGCTGTGCGCGCAACGCGTGCTGCGCAAGTGGTTCTTAGAGGATGCAGTAAGGAATGGACAGTGGTTGGAACCCAGTAAACTGTCGAGGTTAACCCGAAACCGAGCTCCATAAAAGAAAGCATGCTGTGTGTGTTTGTGTGGGGTGGAGCAGGGTTTGACTAGTGTGTTTAGAACTGCTGGTTGCGGCTACAAAAGCTATTGCGGAACGCTACGCGGGGCAATTCACGGGCTAAAGCAGTGTCATTACGGAGTTGGCCAATACAAAATTCCCGCATAACAACGTGACACTCCTGCGGCAAATGCCCACGAAGGAAAATCGAGATTTAGGTCCTGTATTGCGCTCCTCACCACCCACTTTGGTTCCATCCGATTACCACTTCTTGTGATAAATGCAGCAATGTCTTGTTCGGAACGAATGCAATAACGTCGAAAAATTGGGTGAATCGACTTTTCTAATCGCCTTGGGAGAGGACATTAAAAACGAGAATATATTTCGGTTGATAGATCTCTTATAAAAAAAACTTATTGCCCATCGAAAATGTCATTCCTATTCAGCCATTCTTGTGAAATGCTCAAATGCAAATGGAGTTGTACCTTTTGCCAATTTACTAACACCAGTGTGCATACATACAGGAGGGAGGGGGGGGGGCAGAGAGGGCAAAAAACTCACTCCCAGCCACATTGAGAACGGAATCAATTACACTTTGCTGAATTCCAACCGAACATTCCTATCTGAAAAGTGAAGGGCACATTCCGTTCTATAAAAAAAAACTTCCACAAGAGCCTTCTACTTAACGATGTCAGAAGATTTTCCCACGGAAACATGGTGCACGGTACGAGCTCAACGAGGTCGTCGAGAACCATAGACGATTACGACGTCTCTGAAACGCTGGTCAAAAGCGATAATTGCATAGTCAAAGCTACTGTCACTAAACGTATCCACCAGTTACAAGACTGGGAGATTATGTAGCAATTCAAGGCTATAGCGATTTCTCAATATTGTGCTGTC